TGTAGGGGGGCGGGGGGAGGGGTTGGGGGGGGGGGAGCTTTCCCGGACCCACTTGCATCCTTCTTTGCTGGCTGCCCCATTGACTTTGCTTGTGGGAAGCCAGCAAGGAAGGTTGCAAATCACGATTGTGTGATGTTGCAACCCCTTGTAAATGTGAGCTGGTTGCCAGGTGCCCTGATTGTGATCACGTAACCACAGGGATGCTGGGACGGCTGCAACTTCGAGGACCGGTTGTAACCACCAATCATTCAGCACCGTCGTAACTTTGAACGGTTGCTGAATGAGTGGTTGTTAACTGAGTATTATGCTTGACAATGAAAACGTCAACTTCAGTTTTTCTTTTTTTCCATATAAAAATTATAATGGCAATAAAAATTCCATTGAAGAAACTGTAAAATTTCAAAATAATCAAGCAATAAACATTTGCTATCTAATCAGATATTTCTATCACAGTTGTCATGGATTCTGGGATGTAAAAAGAAAAATTCTTATTTTTACTTCAATCTCTTATTGTTACATATTCTTGCCCATAATTTAGTTGTAAAAGAGAAAGAGAAATATACACAATAAATAAATGAGTATATTATGGCATTTTGTTCAGTGAAGCTTGTCACCTTTTCATGGAGAGTTCTAAATAATTAATACAGCTATTCTGATACATCGTAGGTTTAATTTTCATATAAGCTTTTCATGTTTTTATACCATATTGATGCAGTTCTTTCTTTTAACATACAGATTTCTGCTGATTTTTTTTCTTGCATTTTTTAATAGCTTGAAGATGGGCATACCTTATTTGATTATAATGTTGGACTGAATGATATAGTTCAGCTTTTGATACGCCCAGAGTCCGATGTTCCTGCTACAACATTGAATAAAAAAGATGGAAAGCCTGGTCCCTGTGCAGTTGCCAACTGTAAGAACAAAGTCAAACAAGGAGTGAACAGTGGATCATCGAATTTGCCATCTACATCAGCTCGCTCATTTCTTATAGATCCTGGCATTGGTGAATACAAGGTATTTGTTTATTTTTTAATCTCGATTGTGTCTCCTAGTTTCATTTCCAAGATCATTATGAATTCATTTTTTAAAAATGAGGATTATGTATTGAATGCCTGTACTAGAACAGTAAATATACTACAATGATTTTATAACGTTTTAGATCTATTTTAAATCTGCTAGTTGGAACAAAGAAGTGCTAGTGGAAGGGAGTTGGTAAAAAGCAACTTAGCTATTCTCTCCTCTCCACAGCAGCCTTTTGCTTCATATCTTTCTTGAGGCTTAGAGGCTTTCTAGAATGAAGTGGCTGGTTGTGCTACGCAAGTATAACAAAGAAGAAAATATCAGATGGAGGCAGCTTCTATGATCAGAAATATGAATAGGCCAGGGATTTTTTTTTTCTGTCATCATCTAATGCGGCCTTTTCTAAACTGGTGGCCTTCATATATATTGGACTAAAGCTCCCATGATTCCAGAGTTAAACTCCTCTGGATGGAGTTTATGGGTGCAATAGTCTAGTATATGTTTCAGGCATAAGTTTGGGAAAGGTTTAATCATCATCGTCACCTGCCACATAACACCCCAGACTTAATAATGATAAGAAAGACCAAAAAGTCTGTATGGTGGACATTGCAATACTTGGAGACAGCAGAATAGAAGAGAAAGAACTGGAGAAAATCTCAAAATACAAAGAGCTGCAAATAGAAGTAGAAGGACAGTGGTAAAAGAAAGCAAAGATAGTACCAATAGTAATAGGCGCCTTGGGTGCAATCCCAAAATATCTGGCGAACCACTTGAACACCATCGGCATTGACACAATCACCATCAGTCAACTGCAAAAGGTAGTTTTACTTGGAACATCTTACATCCTGCAATGATACCTTTAACTCCATCAAACAACCTGCTTATCCCAGGTCCTTGGGAAGGACTCGGTAGGTGGATAAAAATACCAAATCCAGTCTAAACATCTGGCTGACTGTGTGACCACCACCACCACCAATAATAATGTTGGGTGCCTTTGAATCAGTCTCAACTCATGGTGACTGCCCGGACAAGTCCCTGCAGTTTTCTTGGCAAGATTTTAAGAAGTGATTTACCATTGCTTTTTTCCTAGGGCTGAGAGAATGACTGGCCCAAGATCACCTAGATGGCTTTGTGCCTGAAGCGGAACTAGAACTCACAGTTTCCCAGTTTCTAGCCAGGTGTCATAACCACTACACCAAACTCAGTCTCTTTAATTAATTAATTAAAACAATTTGTTAGATTTCTATCCTCTTTTCTCCAGGAGTTAAAGGTGACTTATATGGGATCTCTGTTTAAGTCACAGAAATCCCAAGAGATAGGATGGGCTGAGAGAGTTTCCATGTTGAGAATGGATTTAAATATGGGCCTTCCTGGTTCTAGACCAATAGTATAGCATGCTGGCTATTAGTGTATGCTGTTAGCATACTTCAGTGTTATCCAAGATACGATGTTATGACTCTGCTGCCAGTTCCTTAATCTTATTAAGTATTAAGAGGAAATAAGAGGGTTCTCTTTCTTTTCCCCCTCACCTTTCTTCAGTGTGCATTTTTCATGTCTGCTCCAAATGTTTTAATATATTTTATGTTATGAGTAACAATAGTTGCCTTTGGATGTAATACTAAAATCTGTCCTAGACATCTCAACAGAATATCTTAGTTGATTGGAAACACTCATTTGAAGGTTGCTTATGGATCTTGTGTTTGAACCATGACCAGAATTAATTATTTCTGAATCCATAAACTGGGTTAATACTTTTTTTTTTTCAATGTCAGTGTCCTTCTGTAGCTGTTTTCTTAGTGATGGGAAGAAGGACTATTCTCCAGATTGAGTGACTCTTGGTGAAGCTCTTGCAGAACTTGTACTCCCTTTTTCCTATATTTAGCCAGAACCTTAAACTAGTCAACATAGTTTCATAGCATCTTTATAATGAGATGAAACATTAATCAGAACTTCAGTTAATGAATTAACATATACACAGGATATATGCTGACAATAATATAGCTTAGTAGGCTACCTTGATTGCTACATCCAGAATTTTTTTTTTAAAGTTCTCAAAAGAAACAACACTTACTTTTCACCTTTAACAATCTTTTTCAGTTCTGTTTTTGAGAAATTCCACTTATGAGTGCATGGTACTAAGCACTTCATTGACCAAATAAAAAAACAAAGATCTTTCTGCTATGCTGGACTGACAATGAGGAAGTATGAGTTATTAAAAAGGAGGAAGAGATAGAAAATTTATATCAAAATGATGCTGGTTAACTGAAGATCCCTTTACCTCCAAATGCCTATTGAAATTAAATTTTTGTGGAAATTTCATTTATTGTTGGGAGGAGTCTTCCCAAGAAAATTATCTTAGTTGGAGATAAAAAAGAATTAGGAATTCCTCTATGAAGTGGGAATGGGAAGAAAATATGTTGCTTCTGGCTTTCTGATATCTAAATATCCAAAGGGAGTTAGTACATTTTGCCATCATTAATTGTTCAGGCCATGTCAGTAAAAAACTTTCACTGACATGGAAGCTTATCAAGAAAGTGTTCAGGGTATCAGCAGGACATCAAAAAAAGGGTAAAATGTTTCCTTTGCAAAATTTGAATTTTTTGGTTGTTCAACAAATTATGGTTTACTATTTTTTGTAAAGGCAACCATAATCTATATTTATAGCAGTGAACCTTTTTTCAGAACTAGGTTCAAAAATGTGATTGTTAACTTAGCTTTAACTCTAGATTGTGTTCCTTCCTAAGGAACAGATTATCACAATTGGGGCCATGAGGAAAGTCTGGAGGGGAGCATACAACTCTTGGCTTATAGTCAAGTTGATTAAATACAGCCTTGTTGAGTCTCTACTGGTCCTAAGACTGTGAATGTGTTAAAGAAAATACTTTTTGTTGCATTGTTTATTGTGAAAATGTAACCGATTAGGTATAATTTCTAATTCAGTATAAAATTGTTAACTATCTCTTTATTCTTTTAAAAAGAACAGATGCTAATTTTGTGATTAATAAGTATGAAGGCAAGACCAAATAAGAGAAAATTAAAAATAACTATTCTTGTGCCATATTTAATAGTAAAATAGTTAAGCAGAAATCATACCATGCTAGATCTCTGCATATGCCTACTAATCCTTTATGTGAGAAGCTGGAGAGATGTGGTTTCTGAACCACCTATCTGTGGTTAGCCAGTGATTAAATATATTGTCCTAATGTAGGATACATGCTATTTCCAAATGCCAGAATTAACAGAGAAAAGCTATGGTTTGTGGTAGGTTGATTTAGGGATAAAGTAGCCAGAAATAGAATTGTCCTGTATTCTGATGACATATTTAACCATCATCAAAGCATGATTTGTTTTGAAAACCATGCTTCTTCAGCTAGTTGTAGGAACAACTGTCATGATCACGCATGGCATTGTGTTGTGCTGCTTGAGCAATTTATAGCTAAGATTTAAGAGTGATGTAAGGATAGACTCATTGGGTCCACACATCCACGCAAGATGGATGTGTGGAAATAATGCTTACTTGTTCAAAAATGCAAATATAAACTAAGTCCTTTGGAAATGTTGAAATAGTTAAAAAGAAAATTGATAAAATAAGACCTTAGAAGAGTAACATTTATTAAAGTCTAAATGTCTGTTGATTAAATCATATGCTATAATGTGTGCAGTATTTGGGTCTAAATCAGACAAAATCAAAGATACTTCGATTCTGGTATAGCCTCCCTTGCGGTACCTGTCACAAGCTCCTCAAAGGAGCTATGTTTTTTGCTAAGCTTGAACTGTAACTACAAGGGCTCAGGAAAATATTTGTTAGCATTAAGGAGGAGTTATGGGGATGGCAGTTTATTTCTTGGTTTACTCTTTTGGTTGCTAAAATCTTTTAAATACTGGTTAATGGAATCTCTGAAAAATTAACAGATTGAGAATACAACATTGAGAATTTTCTTCTTTTATTATACTACTGAAAGCTTATGTGAAATGCAAAAAACTAATTTGGTTTTCTTTATTGTGACTGCAATTTTTTTTTAAATAATAGGTTTTACTATTTTTGCTCAGATTCAGGTATTTACATTCTATTTTCTGACAAGCTTTTACAAGCTGTATTCCATGTGAGCCCATGTGTTGCTTGATGTGGCTGAAAATGTAAAAGCCTTTTTACATGCCTTGTTTAATATTCAGTTACCATAGAAATTTGCTGATACTGAACTACGTACTGCTGCAGCTGGAATTCAAGCATGTTAATACTTCAGTTCTTAGAAGCCATTTACCTATGCTCCTAAGTTCAGTCAGTAACTGACGTATGGTCATAACTCTCATTCTGCTTATGCTAGAAAAGTGTTGTTTCCTTCTGTGAGGCTTATAATCTAGTGATCCAGTGAATAGATTATGACCAGATTCAGTCCTTAAGACAGTTTCATCCAGGTCATCCTCTGTTCTGCTTATTCCTCTATCTCTCTGTATAAATTTGTATAATTTGTATAATTTATAATCCTCTATCTCTCTGTATAATTTGGTAAAGCAAACGGACACAGTGGCATCCAGGTTCAGAAGAACAAAATAGACATGCATATAGTATGGGTGGAACAAGAGGGCAGATCGCTCTAAATTATAAAACAGTACAGGTATTTAACTACATGCTGCCCAGTATTTTTGTAAGGTTCAAGTTCATATATAAATTCAGCTCCTACTATTTGTCTGGATGTATTGGAATCTATATAAATTCATCCTTCCACGCTTGTGTGGTTGTCCTTTGGAATCTGTTGTCCTTTGGAATCTATTGGTTTTATAGCCTGCTGTTCCCATCATTTCAGTTGTACACTTGTCCTTCTATCATGTATGATTTTTTTTATCCATTCCTTCCTTTCATCAGCTTGCTGCCTCATACCTCTTTCCTCAGACAGAGGACTATCAGATCTTATTTTGCCTTTAAATAGTAAATAAACCTCATCAGTACTGAAAGTGATTTTCACTGTAGTATTGAATCATAAAAATGGATGTTA